ATCTTCAAAAGTCCTTACATTGCCCACCGTCTTAACCCTTGCCCGTGTAGCCGCCGTTCCAATCCTCGTCGCGAGTACGTTTAAATCATCAGATCTAAACGAATGAAAGTCTCAAACCATCGATTACCAATCTGAATTGGATCTTCTTCATCTTGGTTCTGTTTTTGTAGCTTTCTACGTTGATTGCTGGTGGGGGAGAACTGCCACAACGAGTATCTTCATTGCAGCTGCCATTACAGATTGGCTTGACGGGTACATTGCAAGAAAGGTACTTCCTTTTTATTTGTACCCTTTTGTATGTTTATGAGGTTAAGCTTGAATGTTGTGTTAATTTCCAGATGAGGTTAGGCTCTGCGTTTGGTGCTTTTTTGGATCCAGTTGCAGATAAGGTTTGAGAAAGCCTCTTCCTTTATCTCTTTACCATCACAAGACTTTATCTTTCTGATTCAAGTTATTATGGATATATGCAGCTTATGGTAGCAGCTACATTGATACTGCTGTGTACTCAACCTATGGACGCCGTTGTCTTTGGACCAGTTCCATGGTTAGTGACTGTACCTTCAATTGCCATCATTGGTAGAGAGGTAAGGTATAAAAAGTTTACTCTGTATGTTGCACTTACCAGCTCTTGGTTTCTACGTAACTATTTGGTAATACTATTCATTTATAGATTACTATGTCAGCAGTAAGAGAGTGGGCTGCATCTCAGAACGGCAAGCTTTCCAAGGTAAAAAATGATCAAATTCATTCTCTGAGAGCTTTTCTGTTACTGTGTTTACTTTACTCATATATTAGTGGTGTTGATAATGTTCTTAGGCTGTTGCTGTAAATAGCCTGGGAAAGTGGAAAACTGCAACGCAGATGATAGCACTGACCATGCTGCTTGCAAGCCGGGATAGCAGTTTTGAGAGGCTATTACCGCCTGGTATTGGGTTGCTTTATCTATCCGCAGGTCTCTCTATATGGTCTTTAGTTGTTTATATGAGACAGATTGTGAGAGTACTGCTAAAGAAGAAGTAGCGAAGTTGCTTTTCTGGCTTTTGAATCTCAGTATATAACACATAGAATGGACGACTGCTCAACGACATTGTTGAAGAAACTCTTAGGAAGCTTTAGCTCTGTTTTCAACTTTGGGCTATCGGATCATACTCAACTTGGTTTAGTTTTGTATAATATCTCTGAATCACGATGCTCCCCGCACTCTGAGTTTTTACTGAAGCAGCAAGCACGAACTTATGGGCAATGAAGGAGAAAGCAAGCAGGTGTAGTTTCATTCTTGTTGCAGCCTTGCTTGGTCTCATGAACTCTGAGATAATGAAAAAGAACAGTTGTTGCCTGTGTCATGTTTTTCTAATTTTCCGTCTGAAAAACTATTCATTCATAGTGAAGCTGGCAGATGTCATGTTACAAAAGCTGGCAGATGCATGCATGTTTTCTCAATCCAGATACAATATATAAAACCAAATCTTTGTTACAATATCTCGTTTTTTGTATCTTTGAGATAGCAAATCCAAAAGCAAAAAAAAGAAGAACAAATCATATCTATAAACCCCAAAGAATGACAAATCATCATCCAAAATGATGATAAAGGTGTAAAGGAAAAACAAATCACAGAAGACTCTGAAAAGTGTGAAACAGAAAAGACACTTCTTATACTGACTAAAAATCAGGACTTGAGAAGATGTTGCGATGCTTGCTTCCGATTGTGTCTTGTAGTATTGTGATCTCTCCTTCTTTCTCTAAAACTCTCTCCTCCAATTTATCTATCGTAACTCTCAACGTCTCGTTCTCTGAGCTCAATAGCATGTTCTTCTCACAGCATTGTCTTAACTCTCTCCATATTTGGTCTCTTTCATCAGAAACCTTAGGTAATACTGTTTTCAAGCTCGTTATGTCTTTCGCAGCTTCCTGGAGATTTAACTCAAGCCGGTTTATGTTTTCGTCTTTCTTCAACATCTGGTGTCAAACCCGATCAAAGTTATTTACATAGCTGGGAATAGTTTCTTTATTCCACGAGCCACAAAAACACAAACATAGGATGTGTTGATATTAGTATACCTGGAGCTTGAGGTCCTTTAGTTCGTGTGTCTTCACTGATAGGTGATCTAAAGTGTTTTGAACCTCACATCTCAGAATCTCATTACCTCGTACTGCTGCTGCTACTTCTGCTTGCAGCTGTTCAATTTCTTGTTCCTTGGAATACAGTTTCTCCCGTAATAAACTTGTGATTAGGGTCTCAGCTCTAAGCTCTGCTCGAAGGTTATCCTACATGAGATTAAGCTTAACGTTAGCAGAAATATATAAATGAGCACCAAAAATACCAAAAAGGAACATTTCAAGACTCACTTCAACTGATTGGTTTCTTTGTTCCTTAGGCCTATCAGTACTTGAACAAGATGATTCTGAATTTGAAGCCACCACACTAGTTACTGTTTGCAAACTCCTCTTCAGGTTTTCAGTTCCACGCCTTATTCCATGGACTTTCATTTCAGATTCAATCATAAACTGCTCGCTTAACCCATCCTTCATCGAACCTGTATCCTGACAGGTTTCAGTAACCTGAGTTAGCTTCCCTTTGATGAACTTCAGTAACTTGTAACACAGGTGGTTGCTCTCATTTAACATTTGCAGTCCTTGGTCTTGCAAGCAGCTGATACGCATCTTCAACTCATTCTCTAGCTTAAGCGTTGTAATGTCTATCTCTTTGCCATTTCCTTTCAATCGATTCAGCAGACAGATATTCTCTTGGCGAAGAGAGTCAGTTTCAATCTTCATTGATTCCACTTCCTTTCTAAGTGAAAGCTCGATCCCTGTCAACCTTATCTGCTCCACCTGCAACTTCTTCACCAACTGGTCCATCTTCTCCGACGGTTGCTTCTTATTCTCCTCAGAAACCCCATCTCGAAGCCCCTCGATTGTCTTCTCTTGTTCTTTGCAGGTTCTCAGAAAATTTGCAACAGATTTGTGCAACTCCTTGCACTCTTGATCCTTCTCTTCAAAGTTCCTTCTTAAAAAATCATTATCTTCTGTAGCACCTGCATAGCTCTCTTTGACCTGGGAGAGAGTTTGCTTAAGATACGAGTTCTCATCATGCAATTCATCTGCTGCCGTGGTCAGCTCTGCAACTCTTCCCTCCAGATGTGTTATCATGCCTTTGCTCTCTGTCTCATTTTCATGGAAAGCTGAGAGTTCTCTCTGAAGTGAGACATTCTGCTCAGCAAGCTCTCTCACACGCGCTAGCATCTTCCTCTCTTCTAGCTGGAATTTTTCAAGCTTTGAAGTCCACTCGCCTGACCTTCTATCAAGCTCTTTCTCCAATCCAGCCTGCAACTCGCTCCGCTCTTTCTCTATTCTCTGTATGTTCAGGTCCCAATCTGACTTCACCAGTCTCATTTCTTCCCTGGCAGAAGCCCTCTCAGCCATTTGGGAGCGCAAAAGATTTACATTCTCAAATGCCAACTTGAGCCTTTCATCTTCAAGTTTTCTAATCGCCCCAACCAAAGATGAGACATCAAAATCACAGTCAGAAAGGCATCTCTGCTGCTCCATTTCTTCAGAGAACAGTTTCATTCTCTTCTCAGCTTCTTTAATTTTCACTGCCAGCTCTGAGTCAACATCCTCTTCCATACACCTATACATGTTCTTACCATGTATATGGTTTTGCTGGTGCTTTCCATAGCCATACGCATAATATTCGTTAACAGGTTCATAACGTTGAGCAGTGACATCTGAGCTCGAGTCAAAAGTTCTATCACGGGATCCACCGTAGACATCTTGAATAGTGATGGGTTCATGATTTGCCCCCTTTGAGTTGCCATGAGTCTCAGAGAGTCTTTCAATGACATTTCTTGCAAGCGAACGTGGTGATCCATGCCTTGATCCGTTGTCCGCACGATCAGTGGAAGATAAACGATGGCGGGTGCCTTTAGCTTCTCTAAATGAGTGTGACTTCCTTCTGTCATTGAGATTGTCTGATGGAGATGTAGGGACTGTACAGTGGACCCGGGGTGGAAGCCTCCTTCGGTTAATGCTGCTAGAGACATCGCTGCGTGAGGAACAACTCTTTTGCTTGCACTGTTCTAAATGCTCCTCTCCATCAATATAACGGTCCAGAACTTTACTAGAGAGATTACTAGAACAAGTTGACGAACTCCCAGATGAATCTTGTTGGACTTCAAACTGCCTCTCTCTAATTAGTCTTTCTGGAGTGAAACATCTGGCCACATAGTTTTCATTACTATTAACAACACCAAAACATGTTTAATCAAACAAATCTGAATAGGGAGACCAAAAGCATACCGAGATGATTGCTTCCGCCGCCTATCCTGGCTTAGCTCATTGGTGGAAACTTCTCCAAACTTATCAAAAGTGAAACCTGCTGAGGACAACGAAAGGCTTCGTCTAAGAGATGGACCACCAGAAGCCTCACCGTGTGACTTGGGACTGTTGAACTCTTGTTCAGTCGGAGTGTTAGCTTGGGTTTTCATCTTACCATCTGCTGCTTTTTCGCAGTGAGCCTGTTTGTCAGCTCCATTACCAGACGAAGACCTAAAGAAGAAGAGCTTCTTCATTGATTGTTTTCTCCAGTTAAAAGAAGATGCTAACACAACTACACCTGGAATCAAAACATAACAAAACCCAATCAAAAGATTGAAAAAATCACATCAGAGTGTTCTTGCAAACAATTACTCAGAGATTCAAAAACTCAGACTCGATCATAGTAAACACTGAGTAAGGCATCACTAAAAGACCAAACTACCCTTACCATCTTCAAATCAGAAGAAGATGCTAACACAAATGCAGCTGGAATCAAAACTCAATCAAAAGATGGAAAGATCACATTTTGCAGCAAAAAAAAAGAAGTGTTCTTGCATAGAAAATCAAGCATTACTACTACTGATAGATACAAAAACTCAGACTTGATCATGGTAAACATCGAGTCAGGCCTTATTAAAAGACGAAACTACCCCTAACATCTTCAAAGCTACCTAAAACCCTAGACACCTGGAGAATCAAGGAACGAAATCGAGAACCTGAAAATCGTAGCAATGCGAAGAAATTGATGAAGGAAATGAAAGAAAACAGCTTTATGCAAATTGCTTTATCAAAGAATCGCTCAATTGTTTTTTTCAAAATTCAAAAAAGAGAAGATCTTTGGGATTAATGGGACTTACCATAAACAGCGATCTTTCGAAATTCGAACGGAGAAGAAACTGAAACGCAGATTTTAGTAACGGCGTTTGATCTTAACGGAGAGTCTTTAGAAGTTAACGACGGAGTGAGAGAGATAGAGAGTGTGGCGTTTGACGAAGAAGAAGAATCGAAACGGCTCGCTTACTTTCGATGGTTTGTGAAGTGTAAAATAGAGTACTAGTCGAGGGCATTCATGTCAAACTTTTGAATTATTTCATTGCGCGGATAAGCACTTTGGAGAGGAGGAGCGTGGTTTATTATTTCTCCTGTTTTATTTTTATTTAATAAAGGTTTTGGTGTTCAAGTTTTTATTTCTTAAACAAAATGTATAAATATGTTTGATTTTGCACATAAATGATTTTAAAGTTGTATGAGGTAAAATTATATGATTGAAAAAGATAGTCAATATAAATCATAGGGGACTTTTTTTTTGTTGTTGATGATCTTTAAAAGTTAAAACATATAGAATACCTTTGTCAAAAAAGCTTATAGAAGATAACTATATGAGTTGTTTCTTTATTCAGAAGTTACCAACTATATATAAGAAACCAAAAAAGGATAAAATTGTTTTTCTTTCTATGAATGTAGTTCAAAGCATTTAAACAAAAATAGCAAATGATCTGGACAATAAGTAAACCAATAGAATTGACAATCAAAGGAAGTAATGTGTTATTCCAAAATAAACATAGTTATCGAATTACTACAAATTAGCTATCAATTTTTTTTTAAAGAAAAGTTCTATCAAATTACTGTAGAGTTTGAGTTAAGGGATTATTGTTTAGGATTTGTGGTAAAATTAGAATTTTAAATGATCATTTGTTACATTTTCAATTATATAAATTAAACAGATTGTAAGAGGTATTTTAATCAAAAACTAGATTTTGACCCGTCCTTCAAAGAGCGGGTATACTTTTGTTTTAATATTTTTGAGAAGTTTAATGTTTTAATTTTTGTTTTCTTTATTTCTAGAATTGTATTTATATTTAATCATTTATGAATAATATTAAAAAGGTAATGTTATTGATATAACAATAATTAAATAATAAATAGTTGGACAAAATATTTATCAATTAGTCATGATCATGTTTTTATAGATATAGTTAATATGTAGACTAATAAAATTCTAAAGATATTGTTTATTAGTATAGTTTATGACAGTTATAATTTTTTTTCCAACAAAAAAAAAGTTATTTCCAATAAAAAGTTAAAGTCAAAATCAAAATAGTTTCTCCTCTTTAAATAACATTGTATTGGCCTTAACACCGGAAAACATAATTATTGATCATACGTTCAAATATATTATGCAACTGTCTATTTTAGTTTACATAAAATTGAGAGCAGTTGTAAGATAAAAACTAGATTTTGAACCCGCACATCCGTGCGGGTATTTTTTCATTTTATTAAAATATAACAATACCTTTCAAATATATATGATTTACATTCTATTGTTATATATTCTATAATTGTATAATCTAATAATTTTAATTA